ATACTGAATGTTTTCTCTTATCTATGTAAATGTTGCTTCATCGGAATTGATCTGGCTTTTGACAAACTAGCAAGTGTATAAATGATAAACACAGCAAATGTTCTTTGGATGGAAATAAAGTCATTTTATACTAAACACGTACTTTAAATTCCACTAAAATGAATTAAAGTTATGGCCTTAATTCATTAGACATTCCTGCCAGTAGGGCGGCATGGTGGTGTGGTGGTTAGCACTGTCGCCTCACAGCAAGAAGGTCCTGGGTTCGACTCAGTGGCCTTTCTGTGTGGAGTCTGCATGTTTTCCCCGTGTCTGCGTGGATGCACTGGGGATCAGGTTGATTGGTGACTCTAAATTGCCCGTAGGTGTGTGTATGTGTGTGTGAATGGTTGTATGTCTCTGTGTAGCCCTGCAATTGGCTGGCGACCAGTCCAAGGTGTACCCGGTGCTCGCCCGAAGGTGGCTGGGTCAGACTCCAGCGACCCTGTGTGCAGGATAAGAGGTTTGCAGATGGAAGGTTTCCTGCCAGTTTTGTGTGTGTCGCGCTCACCCCATGTTGGCCAGGAAGGAGCTGGTTGGTGCGGGAGGTGAACGGGGGCGCTCCGAGTCCTCGTACATTGGTGGAGGGATGGCGGCCTTTGAGCCTCTGGCGGGGCGACCTTCATCTTCGTATGAGAACGATGAGCCTAAAAGCACAGCAGTCATTGACACGTGTTGCAGCATTTGTAATGTATTATCCAGGCATGAAAACGGGTCAAGGGTGAAAAAGGTGAGAAGGATATTACCCCTCTAGGGCAGGGGTTTTCAACTGGTTTTGTCCCAGAGATTTGTTCGAGTCATTCATCATCATCAAGCTGTAGCTAACGTTAGCTAAGTCTATGTCAACAAAGATCCTGGGTAACTTAACTTGGATATACCAGAAAATATTAAAACCATCACTGACCCTGTTCGCAATTCCCTGAATCTCGCGCTCCCTTCTGACACGCGCACCTGTTCGCAGTTCACTGAATATGAATACCCCCCCAAAAAACCTCATTGAATCTACACGATTCACGTAGGTCACCTATTTTGGTTTCAAAACGGCGAATTTCGCCGAAAGGTGAGGGATTTTCATGCCTGATTATCATTACTATTACTACGAACTAGTTTTCATCTTGTTTTACTTTCACTACACTTCCCCCTCTTTGCTGCTATAATCCTGAACATTCTACTGCTGCAATACTTATAAAGGACCATCTTATTTTATCTCATCGCTTATTCACGGTTTTTATTCTTTGCATGTATTTTGGGGTTTCCTTTTATTTGATTTTACATTGACATTCACAATGTGAAAGACACCTCAAACTCTGAAGATGTAGACAGTGCCGCCCTCTGCTGTAGACTTAAGGCCGGCGCATGCTTCTGCGTCGTTGCGTCGACACACTCGTTTCAATTCATGGTTCTGTGTGTGTTGCAGAGCAATTCACCTCCAGAACAACAGGCAGAGTAACATGTTTTTGTTGAAGACGACCTAGAGAGTCACGTCTATTCATTTATTTGTTTATCATAGACTTTATTGCCCCGTGCCCCGTTATCGCCACTGCTGCTTTTCATCACGGACACATTTGTCCCGTATTTTCCTCCACAACTTTGTTCACTTCTCAACCGGCAAACCGGCGATCTCCCTCCATGAATCCAACCCGCTTCTACAACCCGCCAATGACGGCTTGTATAAGCAGTCATATTTACGCATTTCTTCCGACAAAAGTTCTTCAATCTGATCTGTTCTGTTCTCTTGTAAACATTCTTCGTTTTAATAATGGCGGTATCGGGCCATGAAAGCGGAAATGTGAGACTCCGTAAAGGATGTAGTTAGCAGACCAATTGCAGCCTTGTGCGCTGCGGGAGCAAGCCTAGAAAAATGGCTCGACACACACAAGGACGCAAGGAGGTGTGAAAAGACACACAAGGGGGTCTTGCGTCTGCCGAGCTCTGAAAACGCAGAAGCATAAACTAGGCTTAACTGATACTGATTTCCTTTCACTAGTCAGTAGCTGAAAACCATCACCACATCATGAATCTGAAGACTTACCATCTTTGTCCACAAGTGAAGAAGGAGGGGCGATAGCCGCTCCACCCATCACTGCCAGAGAGAAAGATCATGACAGATGTCATTGATTTGAAGTTCATTTTTGTCCTTGTTTCAAACATGATGACTTTGATGCACACATGTTACTGAATCCAATGTAACTAATGTTATTCAGCAATGGTGTTATGTGGACTCCTGAGTCTGTAAATACAATAATAATGGCAAAATGTTTGATATATTAATTTACCTATATAATGGCTCTCAACCAATGGCAAATCTTTCTACAGGCGTGTCCCATGTGAGCGCATTGGGATAAATTACTCACTCCGTTTCCTCCGCTCTGCCTCGTAGTCCTCCTCCTCATCCGACTCGCCCTCCGCTGCAGGGAAGCGAGAGAAACCACTTGGAGCTCCACCATCTGGCCGATCTTTCCTCTTCCTGCAAACACATCAGGTTCAAGAGTACAGAAGTCCTGTGTTACTTAAATATTTAATATTACTATTCCATAGGAACTAGAAAGCCCTCCAGAAATGTTCTGGGCTTGATCCCATGTTGTTGCTACAAGCACGCAGATACAAGGTATCATCAGGGAAAGAGGTGGCAGTACTTTTCTCTCTCCTCAATCTCCTTCTGCCGCTCCAGCTCCCTCTGGCGCTGTCGTTCCTCTCTGTGTCGCTTTACCACTTTCTCGTAGTCGTTGGGGAACATTGGATCGTACTCGTCCGCCAACGGGATCAGCACATCGCCGGAAGAGAAACCACTCGGCACAGCTTCCTGTAGCACACACACATATACAAACACAGGCTACGATATGAGATCTACAGATAGGGGTGTTAAAGGTCCAATAGGTTATTGGATCACAACACCACACACTAGTCTGTAACTTATTATTAACATCACACACTGACATTTTAAGGTAAAAATCAAGCTGCTTGGACATTCCATACATTGTATAAACTCACAACACTGATGATCGGGCTCACTGGATAAGACAGACCTTCAGTGCAGCGGCAGCATATGGAGGAGTGTCTGCAATCTGTCTCTCTTCACTGGAGCCTCCTCTCTTTAGATCAATAACGGGAGCCAAGACCGTGGTCTGCTTCATCCGCTGGGTCTACACACACACACACACACACAGAATGAGCACACACTGAATTCATAATGTGTCCATGTCACAATTGTTTGGTATGGGTTTGGTTTGGATCTAAAATGTAACATTACACTGTTTACATGCTACTCTGTGTCGTTTATAATCTATAGTGCAGCGGTTCCCAAACTCAAGAATGCCGCGGCCCAATTTGAAATCTGAAAATCTTTTGCGGCCCACCCAAACCTTTAATCACAACTCTGATCAAAACATAATGATTAAATGACCGTAAGAATTTAACCAAAATCAAACATCCGCGAGCAAAAGTTAGTCTCCGCGAGGTATTTGCTCGCTTGCGAAACGTGAACTTCGTTGCTCGCGGGGAGAATCTTTGCTCGCGAGGAGAATCTTTGCTCGCGAGGAGAATCTCTGCTCGCGCTCGAAGGAGTTTTCTACGCGCTCGCTGTTGTTCTTTTTGACAGTAAGGTGGAGACGGTGCTTTCAGGGTCCGATCGATGCCGTGAGGTGCGTCCGCTCCCGCCACCCCCCTCGCCATCCACGCCTTAAAATTTCGGCTGCTTTTAGAATAACTTATTTTCCCCGTTAAGATGGTTCAGCTACTGTAGAGAAAAGGGCACCGTCTCTCGATCTTTAATCTCATGAAGTGCTCGGCGAGAACGACAGCTTTGTTTCTCCGAAATTAAAGCCTTTTAAGTGCGCCTTTTAAGTGCGCCTTTTAAGTGCGCCTTGGAGTGCGGAAAATGCGGTATATTTACTTTAATACTACAAGTTCGCCCCGTTTGTTGAACAACGAAAGGCGGACAAGAGCAGCCGTTTCGAGCAAGAGCCTTATTGTTTTAATTAATCTGTCCGTTTAAATTGTTTGTGCTTCATCAACTAATGTTTCGCATACCTAATGTGCCACATCATAAATATTTTATATTAATTTCAAACTTTTAAAAATTGAAAATTAAAAAACTTTATTTATTTATTGTAAATTACCTCTCGCGGCCCACCTGCAGTACCTTCGCGGCCCACCAGGGGGCTGCGGCCCACACTTTGGGAATCGCTGCTATAGTGTATTCTCTCTATGATTGACCATTCTCCTCCACATGTACATGCGGTCGGTATGTTGGTGCTTGTGTTGCATGTAACGGTGCTCACCTTGGCTTGGGTCAGAGCCGCCTTCTTCACCTTCAGCTGGGACTGTAGCAGCTTGAAGTTTTTGGACCAGCCTTCGGTCTTGGTGTCACTGGCACCCACACCGAGGTCATCATACAGCGACATGCCCCCCCCCCCCCCCCTCAGTGCCTCGGTTTCCTGCGGACAGGTTTCATTTGATTCACCGTTAGCGTTGATGTTAAATGACTTCAGAAGCATCACGTGTTGCAACTGGTTACATGTTTTATTCATTAAAGGACTAATAAGTGATGTGTCACTTACAAATGTTGCCGGCTATATTTATTCCATGCTAAGTACGCTATGTTAAACTCAAGCAGACAAGGAGCTGCTGGCTAAATAGCAACGTAGCTAGCACTAGCTAATGCTAATATAGGCGTTTAACGCTAACGTGACGTCTAAAGAATTATGGAGTAAACAACTGTATTATTTCGCTTGTTTTTTTACTTACCGGGTTTAGAAACACCTGGACATCAACTAAATGTAAGTGCTTATAGCATTGAAAAGGGTTAGAGGAAAATGTAATGTGCAGCTACGTACTCGCAGCCCGACCCGGAAGCTGAACGCAAACTAAACGTCACGCAGTCGGCCGCTGACGCTTTTGCGCCACCTGGCGCCCGGCGGGAGGAAGGCTGGTTCACGTCAGAACACACCGGATAAATGCATTTTAATGGCGTTTACTAAAGCCTTTGTATGACGGGTATTACTAGCGGGTATTACTAACAATGTGCCGGAGTGGACCAATGCGTCGCCAGACCGCCGCCTAGCGCGCGCCGGGGAGGACGGAGGATTTCTGGGTTCCTACAAAAAAAACACGCAGGGCATTTCAGCCCATGGCCAAGAGGAGTGGCATGAAAGCAAAACTAAAAGGCGCAGTTTAGTGAGCAGCAGGGCGTTGACCAGTGAGGATGGTCCTTGCCGGTCATGGATTACCCAGCGAACATGCTTTGAGTCTCTGCAAAACCGCCAGATGGACCTGCACTGCCGTTTTGCTTTTTCCTCTGTGTGCCTGATGGTAACTTGCCTCCTGCAGTCCAGGCACTGCTCCACCGGTGAGTGCCGCGCATTAACGCTTCATGTATTGGATTGTGCTCGGGACTCCCTCTAAAGTTTAAACAATCTTCACTTCTACGTGGCACTGCAATGAAACAATTATGAAAAACATCAATTAGTGTCTTCGCGTATCGGTTATTATCTATTTACTTCCTCTTTCAGCCACAACTGTGTGCGCAGTTAGGGACTGCAACAGGGAACACGTTTTAAATTAGTCAATACAAACACTTGACAAATCATGCGGGCAACGGATTTATATGCGTTCACATCTGAAGGAATGGAGGGTAATTATTTACCTGGCAAGCCTGGTCAGGGGTCAGGGGGATTTAGTAAAAGGCTCCTTAAATCTACGGAGGATAAACGGAAACTTTCAGTTCTACGCCATGCCTTTTTTTGTATCTAAACCATGAGTGGAAGATAAAGCGATGAAATTATGAAAATTATGATTTTTTATAAAACAAAAACACCCAATTGTACCAAACAAAATTGTTTTTAGAGGTTTTAGTGAAGAAACGACTCCTCACTTGATCTGCGTTAGAGAGTTAATGATTCATCAAGGAACATGTACTATGAAGGTGTTTATGGAGTCCCACTAGAGCACAAGGACATTACATCCAATGATGCAGAATAATTTAAGAAAATTACCTGCCGTATCCAACATTCAGGACTTTTTTTGTAGTTGTAGCATATTAGGAATTTGACATGGCGGTTGGTGCATAACATTGGAAAGTAAGACCACGAACAATAAGACAAATAACATTCAATTCAATTTGCATACTGTTTTTGTTGTAATTTTTCCATATGATTTGTTTTTCTTCCAGACAAAATCAATTGTCCGTGTCCACAAATTCCCCCAAGGCTTCTAACTCTTCCACCAGACACATGCTTCCAAATTGACCAGACTTTTCGCTACGTGTGCCAAGAAGGTTATTTGAGGAAGGTTGGAACTTCCAATTTAATCAAATGCAAGCAGGATGGCAATAATCCTCCAGAGTGGATCCCTCATGAACCCTCCCTCAAGTGTATACGTAAGATTTTTATTTTTTATTTTCACTTTCCTAATGATCGGTCCAGGGGATCTGACTCGGACATGTAAAACCATTTGGGGTTTTATATCCATTTTTTGATCTGTATTCATAAGCAAATCCATAATGGAAGAAGCTATACAGTGGAGGCTGGTCCATAGAGGGCAATGCGGCGTGGCCCCACCTTGAGCCCCCCCAAAAATGTATCATTTTTTTAAATGATATTAAAAATATATTTTACTAACGTGTCTATTTGTGTTTTTGAAACATGGAATATACCTGGTATTATTTGTAAATTAAGATATCAGCGCAAAATATATGCCTTTCCTGCACGTCCTCTCCGCGTGTCTCAGCTGGGCTCGGGCCGGGGTACCAAAGCGGACGGTCTAAGAATTAGAGTTAGCCAATCACTGATGAAGTTAATGAGGGACATTATAATTTCAGCGTCCTAAAATACATTGAGTTTTGGGCTAACCCCTCGTCGCTCTACGCTGGGCTCTGGTCATGGCGAGTCTCCGAAGCGCCGTTTAACAACATAACAAGAGTGACCACCGGCGGTGTCCTTCCAAGAAGACCCGGCCCAAACTTGGTACCAGAGGAGAACTATATATATATATATATATATATATATATATATATTGTAATATATTTATCATTATATAGTAATATACATATTCAGTAATATAATGAATTGTTTGAATAAGATGCCCTTTATTATGTTAAATATGTTATTTTATGGTAAACTGTAATAAATATTTAACTGCAAAGTCACAATGCATGTTCGATACCTTTTTTGCATTAAATCATCCTGGGATGTTTACTGAAACTGATTGGCTGGCCCTACCAAAAGAAAAATCCACCAGCCGCCACTGTATTACAAAGCAACTTTCAAGTTCAATAATGTCCACAAAAAACTCAAATCTAAAGGGAGTGATGGGAGGAATGCAGAATCCTCCGCATTCTTCTTCTTCTCAAGCTACCATTTGCTGTTTTTCAGCTGACCCGAAGCCACAACCACCAAAGAGCACGGTAACAAGTAAGTGTTAGCTCCATTAGAAAAACTCTACAGTTCCTGTACACCGGGATGTTTTATTATTATGAGAAGTGTTTTTTTTTTTATACATTTGTGATTTATGATGGTCAGACCTTACACTAAGTGACACTGATATCCTATATGATCCCTCCACTGCCACCACGGTCAGCGCGATCCGCTCATTGTTGTTCAGCTGAACCAAACACAACCACAACACAACAAGCAGAGAGCACGGTAACAAGTAAGTGTAAGCTCCAACACAAAACTCTGGAATACTTGTAAAGAAGTAATATACAGGTTTAAATGTCTGTTTGAGTTTCATGATTGATAATGGTCCGATCTTGCAGAGGGTCGTGCTGTCATTCCTCACAGCTTCACCATTGCCAACACAGTCAGTGAGTTCTGTACAGGCATGAAAAACTACAATAACTCTAATAAACTCTGGGCCACTGACGATGACACTAAAACCATAACCCATGCTATATCTGGCTAAATTCTGTGTTACTAGTGGTTATAGTTGCGTTAGTTGTTATGATTAGAATCAGCAGCAGTAAACGTTGTTGTACATCTTCTGCTGTGTTTACATGGAATGTGGTAAGACACCTTCTGGGCCACACAGAGAAAGCAGCATACCTTTTACTTGACTGCCCCGTAACACTTAAATGTAAAATGGCACAAATAGAAAGGTCAGTTGTACAGCCACACCTGTACGTACTAAATTAAGTATCAGCCATTATAACAGTGGCATTGCTATAAAGCTCGTAACAAACTAACACTAAAACCTCGGATGAGTTTCCCGTCTTTAGTCTGTACCGTCACTGGTTACCTGTCCATCCATGTAAGACACTCACGCACCTGGAGTCCCCCATTTACGCATGACTAGACCTTCCTTCCTAGTAGTTTGACAAACGTTATCGACAGTGAGGGGAGGGAGAGTGTCGTTAAGAAGTACTAACAGGCATGCAGTTTGAGTTTCCAAGTTTATGTTTTTTCTTATCAGCAGCCACTTCCTCCGGCCCACAGACGACCCAGAAATTAAGCCCCTCGCCTTCAGTTGCTGCAGAGCCAGACAGGCCAGAGCCGACCCCATTGGGTCTGCTGGCCCTGCCAGGTCCCTCACAGGGTAAATGGCTTATAGTCCCGGCGATGCTAAGCTGGAGGCAGCGCGTGTGGTTTGAAAATTGAGAATGTGGTTTTACCGGCCAGGGACTGTAGCAGTTAAACTTAAAAGAATGAGAAAATGCCTGCACAACTCATTAGATAGATATTTGGTATACTGCATGCAAGATGGACATCTTTAAAACATTATCCCCCCCCCCGTACTGACAATGCCGTACTGTGCTTTGTGGGGGACGCTCTTAATAAAACTTGAGAAATTAGTTTAAGGAATGATCATCATTTTTAAGTGACCTTCAAAAAAACATTACTCGTCTGGTAGTACTTCACTTTGCGCTTTCTATCTTTTATTATTTATTGTATTCACTGCAGCTAATGTACCAGAAGTTTCAAAAGTTTGGACACACTTTCTCATCAAATTGACTGAGAAAATGTGTCCAAACGTTTGACTCTAACTGTAATTACAATTGTTTTTACATAATTGACGGCTTTGGCCAACAGAAGACATTTCGTACATGTCACATGTTCGAGCCCCCCGTTATGTAAAACTCAGGCTGGTGAAAAAAAAAAACCTCTCTTTCACAGCAGCAACAGAACGAGTCGTGACCGAGACCGAAGCGACACTATCGACCTCATCCACCGCTGCACCTTTGAACGGCTCGACACACAACCCTCAGGCGTTCCCCCCCGCCGCCCACAGTAAGCTGCTGCCGCTGTACCCATCTATGCCAAAGGTCAGTCCTGAGACGGAGGGGGAAGGACACCCTTAACCCCGAGTATTTCTGTCATCCGCAGCCGCCGTCGGCTGTGGCTCGTTGGCGATCGTCTGTGCTTCGATGGGGATCGGCTTCTTTTGTCATAGAAGGTGAGCAACCGGCAACGCGCGCAAACATTGCCGCCGGGTTTGATCATTCCATCTGTGCAAGCAGAAGTACGTCACACAGTGGTCCAACGTGTTTCACTGATCCGGGATCTCATCGCCGCTCTCTTTGTGCTGAAGGAGGTCGAAAAGCCACACCCTAACCCCAGAAGAGCAGATGCCCATGAACGGCGTTCAGAGCGACAAAGAGACAGCGTCAAACTCTGCGACATCGCAGTGAACCCACTTGATGTTGGTAATAATCTGTATGGTTTTATTGTCATCAAATCGAATGAGAATGCTGAACCCAACAATGAAGTGATCCCTCCAACAACAACTACTCTGTTTAAAGTAACCCTCATAAAGCGCTTTCTTTCAAGGTGTATTGTTGGAGGAAAGCGATTACAAAAGGCACCACCTGCTCCCTGCGGTATTTGGAAGGTATCCAGAGACAGACTAACAGCTGGTTTTGCTCATTTAATTGGAATGATGACTATAGAGAACATGGAGTAGCTACACCCTGAGCAGCAAACTTATTTTTTGAAGTTGTTAGTCTAGCTGTGTTCAAACTGGCTGTTGCTACTGAGCCAGCGACACTTGCTTACGTTTGTCAGCACTTGAGTGTGTCAAACTCTTCCAGAAGGGTCCGGTCGCCAACATTATGGAGAAAAAAAAAAGAAAAGAAAAAACTTATTTGGTTATATATTGAAGGGGGTCAATGATGTACTGATGTTAAAGACCTTTCAAGTCGAAATATTTCAGCGTCTCAGGTGACTTACCGCACCACTCGTATAAATAGAGTACCTGTCAAAAGTTTGGCCACAAACTTCCTCCACTGCATAGAAAAAAACATTCAGTTTCAATACTGTGTCATAGCCATTTTTAACATTTCCAACTACCTAGATACCTCTGTGTTGGAACAGTTTAACACTTCTCTCTTCATGATTTAATTTTCAAACATTCTTCTGCGCGCCTGCTAATTAACGTCTCATTTTTATGCCCATCATTTTGAGCCTCATGAAGCAGCAACTTGAACAATACTGGAATAGTGTCACTGATTGTCCAAACGGGGCGAGCAGCTTTTAGAGGCAACATTCGTCATCATCAGAAGATAAGATATTCTTTCAAAAACTAATTTGAGATTTAAGAAGTCTTTTTTAGCTGCAGATGATACGATCTGGTTTCAGTTAGAACTAGACACCAAGTTGTAACAGCTTTTTGCCAGATGTTCCTTCTCAAGAGTTACAACAACAGGAAAAGCTTTTGTGGTATTTTCGTTCATCACTCTTGCCTGCGAGCCTAGTTGCGTACACTGATATAGATCCTCCTCCTCGTCATGAGAATCTTTTGGGGGGGCTACTTGTACACTGCTCGGTACTGAATGAAGTCATTACCTGCCAAATGTGAAAGACGGTTTCCTTGCTGTTTGCTTAAGAAGCTGAGGCTGATGGCAGGAATGTAGCAGATGTTAAAGCCGCTGCGGACCAACCGATACTGCTGAAAACTTCTATCTCCTTCCACCCACAGCAGAATATGTTGTACCGTACGTAACGTTGATCTCGTTGGGTTACTTTAAACTGTTTTCTTCCCCCCCCAGCGATTACTGGAAAAAAAGTCACGATCCTGCAATTTTTGTTTTATATACTCAAACACACAATAACAGAGTGCTCTCCAATGAAACCTCAGTCCGACTGATGGTCACTGGGAGCAGTAGGCTTTATAAAAAGGCTCCTGAACTGGATATCACACACACACACATACATATTTTCAGTCTGTTTCGGTGTAAACACGCAGCGCCGTCCCTTTGCGCCTCTAGAAAAGACCCAGCAGCATGCGGTTGTCCAGGTGGACGAGTCCTCGTGGTATTTCGGCCATGGAGAGCACGTCGTCCGTCATGAGGAAGGCTGTCGACCCGATGCGGGTCCACACGCACCTCTCGCACAGCGGCCCGCCGGCAGACACGCCGTCCGACTAGACGTGGACAAAAGGAAATCCGACAAATGAATCCGACATAATCGTGCTGATTTGGATAATGTAGGGAACCACTAACGGGCTTCATGTGCTCGAACATATCTCGTAGGCTGGTTATAACTTACACATTTCATCTGCGTTTTGCTCATGATGAACGCAGAGCCGGGCGTGGTGCAGTTGGGGCATTCGGAGATGCAGCACGGGAGCGGGTCGCCCACCAACGGCGTGCCGGGGGGCATCTCCGACTTCAGGAAGTATTCCTGCAGACAACAATCATCATCACATTTTGAAAGAATTTAGGTTATTAGGCCAGTGGCTAAAGGGCCGAGCAGCTTTGCTGCTGTAGCATGGCGGCTTCCAGAGAAGAGGACCAGGGTGAAAGGGGGGACGGGGGGGGGCAAAGAAACAGCCAAGTGCGGTCTGGCACTGACTTCCTGTGTTTTGGGCTTTTGTCACTTGATTCAACTCATCTGGTCTTTGGACTTTGGACTATTCTAATCTGGGCTTCACAAAACTTCTGGATAAAGACATCTTGACTACACAGAATATTTTGTTAATTTAGTGCTTCTGCTGAGTGATCCAGACTGCGGAACATTTGTTGACTTGCACATATCTCAGTTAATTTAGAAAGGAAAGGACACCCAAGAGAGGATTTGAAACACTTTACATGATCTTAGTACCTTTTTAAGAGGCCATTGAAGTAAAAACAGCTTATTATTTTAATGAAATTGTGACGTGATTCTCGTTTTTTTTGAGTCTGTATTCTTATGGTTGAATGCACTTATTGTAAGTCGCTTTGAATAAAAGCGTCAGCTAAATGACATGTAATGTGGTGTTTGTTTGTTTTCTTTGTTTATATGTTTTTAAATGTTTTATCTGACTTAATTAGTTTGTATGAAGCACCAATTCACAAATATGAAATATGGTGCTCTCGAGGAGGCTCCTCATGGAAAAAGCTGTGCAGCAGCTGTGGAGCGCTGTGTGTGTGTTCCACATTTCACTGCTTAAATTGATCAAATGTCTGATTATGAACAATGGATGTATAATAATTCTCCCACACATATAATAAAACTCTGAGTTCTATATGGCGACTGTGGGTGAGTGGGGAGCACGGTCGTCCTCCAATCAGAGGGTTGTCGGTTCGATCCCAGGCCCGGCTAACCCGCATGTCGATGTGTCCTTGGGCAAGACACTTAACCCAACATTGCTCCTGTAGCTGCGACTACAGAGTGTGAATGTTAGTTACTGATGGGCAGGTGTCACTGTGTGTGGTTCTCCTGTCATCAGTGTATGAATGGGTGAATGATGTCATGCACGCATACACATACATATGATACATAAGCTGATAAAATACATATCCTATTCATTAGTATCAATTTGATTCTTTGGGCTTGTTTTTATCTACATACTCTGAAAGAGTTGATCATTATTCTCATTGGATGATCATCCATGAAGCCTCCTACAAGCAGGCACATTTAAAGAAATATAATCTGATTGATTAGTGACGAGGCACTTAAATGAGCCGTTACATTTTACCAACACGCATTTAACGTTAACTTGTCTGCAAAACTTAGTCGGGCTTGTAGCCTCGCAGGGGGGCGGTGACTGTTTTTGCCAGGATTATATGATTCATTTAATTGTATTTTGTATTGCACAATATCGCAAATTTGCCTCAGAGGTCTTTACAGTCTGTACACATGTGACATCCTCTGCTCACATCGGCACATGAAAAACTCCCCAAACAATGAAAAAGTATTTGATGGGAAGAAAAAAGGGAATAAAACTTTAGAGAGACACAGGACAATCCTCCCTGGGACGGACAGAATAAACAACGTAAAATATGTATAATACATTAAATTCATCCGACAAAAATGATTCAAATTATCATTATCGCCTTCTAACGTAAGACGCGCACACGCGATTATCCTGATGACTGACATCTGGTTCAAACTAACGAGACGGTTTGAGCGCCGATCCACCTTCAAGGGACCGAGATAGCCTGATGTCAATCATCTTGGTAATTTGAGCTGGATAATCGGACATTTGATCGACTTAGTTGAACCACGTACGAGGAACAGGGCCCAGCTCATTAAGCTGAATGAAAATGAAAGAGATTGTAGAGAACAAGGTGAAGGAAGTGAAACTGCGCCTGCATGGGGCGGTCATACGAAGGAGGAAGAATCATGATCACGGGGTTCGGAGCAAACAACCTTTTACACAATTTCACACCACTAAGAACACAAGAAGGAGACAGGAGACATTCTGACAGTAGAATAATCCACAGTGGCTATGATGTGAACGTATGTGTGAGAGACGAGGTCTCACCCCGGCCACTGTGAGGAGGCGGCGGATGGACTTGGTGATGATCAGCGAGGTTCTAGCGCGAGTCACCGCCACATACAGCAGATTCCACTCATCGTCTGCAAGCTTAGCTGAGCAGGGAAGACACACACAAAACGCTCACCACTATTAGAGTGACTTGAAATCTGCATTAGTTAAACAATGGTTGATAATTTGGCACTATAACGGGACTAACAACATGAAAAAGCAACCCCATGACACTTGCTCCAGGGCAACAGTGCCTCCCATTAAAACCTACAACATAAAATCTATGGCAACAGGAGAAGAAACCCACAGAAGGAGAAGTCTGGATTGAAGTGCAGGTTGTGGTTTGAAGAGGGGACTTTGGCAAAGTCATCGGTGACCATCACAGTGTCGAACTCCAGACCTTTGGCCTTGTGGACGGTTCCCAAAATGAAGTCTCGAGCAAAAGCAGAAACGGGTTGTTACCAAGTACAGTGAGTTTAACTGCAAACAGACTTATTGTGAACAAATATGATGAAAAAAAACAACAACCCATAATTGAGTTGATTTTAGTAACTAGTATTGTGTGTTTGGCTAGAACCTGAAATGTGTTAATCCTCTGTGTCATAGGGCATAACTACTGTTTAAAATAGTCCCAGCCAAATACACCATCCCCTGTATTTTTCTGTTTATTTCAATAACCTACAGCTTCATAAAGAGGCAATGGGCATGTTGCAAAAACACAAACTAGGATTTTAAAAAGTATTTAGAGACAACAAAGGTATATTAACCGTAGCGCCGTTGGAATGACATACTGACAATATTTATATCATGACTTCACGTTGCATTATGGATGTCTGTCCCATATGTGGTGTTTCAGTTACTACCCTTGAGACCAATAGGAAGCTACCTAGTACCTGCTTTGTGAATGTCCTCTTCAAAGCACATTTCCAGGCGCTTTACCAGCTCAGGGATGCGCTTCCTGTATTTTTCAACAATGCTCAGTTTGGTCTCCAGTTCCAAGTCATTGGTCTGTTGGACGTACTTCCTGAAGGCCCAGACACCATTCTGTTTGTTGGCAAAGCAGCGAATCAAAGGATCCCTGACGCCTGAGGAAAGAGCCAATGTGGTTTATAAAAAGATAATAACAGCAGAGGCTAAATAAAAGGGGTGTTACTATTCTGATACAAAAGGTCAGATGTATGAATCTCACGTTTTGTCCCTTCCAACAGCTTCCAGATGTCAAGGATCCGATTCAGGCCGATTCCACCGACACCCTGAAGGAAAGGGAGGACCTGTGAGTGCCTGATATCACATGCAACCTCCCCAGTCATCCTGAAGGAAAACACTCTTGCTATTTCGTCCTTAACTGTCAGTTTAGTGTAAACTCACTCCTATGAAGTGGAGGCGGCACTGCGGGTTGGAATCCGTGAGCCGGACGGCTTCGCCGAAGACAGTGACGTTGCATCTCGACAAGATGGCCGTCTTCCCCGGGCAAAGACTCACACCCTCCATCAAGGCTGCCCGAACGTTGTCTGCCGCCTCGTCACACACTCCGCCTGCCTCCGCCAACAAACAATGCAGGATTTTCTTACTGAGACAACTTTCAGGGTCACAAAGCATCCATATTTTGGAAGAAGCGTACACGTTTCCAAGTTACCTTTCTGCTTTCCTCCCACCAGAATTTTCTCCACTCTCTTGCACTCTTTCAGTATGGTAGCACCCACGTAGGCGATCTCGGCACCGAACCGAAAGCTCTGAAAAGAGACATCAGAGGCGTGTTGCTTCAGTTCTTTTGTTCACACTGAACTGCTGAGAGTTACAACCATTTCTACACACGACTTGCAGAATATTAATAAACAACTGTTTGCTATGTAAAGATATAGTGGTGATGACTTATTAAACAAGCTTTATGTTGACCTTTATCCCGAGTAGATATTACAGTAGAGCATGCTGAGCTGATCTCAGATTTATACCTGCATGATGTAGGTTTGAGTGAGATCAATCAATAGACTAATAGGCAATAACCTCAATCAGCTGTTTTTAAATGTTTGTATACAAAAAGAAGTTGATAGTGGACATAGAATAGGTTAAGAATCTTTTTTATAGCTATTATTGGCCAAAATGAGACACAATGTCGATGAGATGCCTCTGAGCGAACACATATCGTTGTTATTATCATATCTGGCATATTATGTTGCAGCAGCAGTTGTTGTGGTACGGGCTGTTCAAATATGGCTCCACCCTGCGGAGCTGGTGTGTTAGAAGGTTGCCTCCATCTGCGTGTCTGTGTGCTCGTCAATACCTGCGTCAGATAGAAGATGTGTGTGTGGTCGATTAGGTTGAGGGCGTTGACGGCTCCTCTGAAAGTGTAGATCTGCTGATGAGGATCCCCGACCAGGATCTTCCCACAGCTCTGCGCCAGAAACACATCCAGGATGACTGAGAGGGAGAGAGGAGAAGAAAGAGGCCGTCACCATTACAGTAATCAGATGAGACTCTTCTCCCCCCTCTCCTGGGACTGCGTCACAGCGGCGCTACCTGGCGTGCAGTCTTGGGCCTCGTCGATAAAAAGCACGTCGTATTGCTGAGACAAGCAGGGCTTTGGAACTTGGAGCTGCCATAACTTCAGGTAACCTGAGGATGAGAAGTTCCGTTGACCACTTCTGCAGCATTCCCTCCAATATTAGAACAGAATTCCCTTAAAGGCATTTCCCTCATTGGCAGCGGGCGTACCGTCGTGGGTCATGTGGTAGGCGTCCACTTTGGTTTCATTGAGATCCTTCATCTTGTTCCAGATAGTCAGCGCTTCATCAGCAAACAACTGAAAAAACATACACCATAAAAAACGATTAACTATTAACTAATTAAAACATTAAACATTCAATGTGACCGTTGGGGTCCTCTAGCTTAATGTTCATTCACACCAAAGTGGCTGTTTGTCACCGCACACCTTTCTTTCAGGCTCCAATATGGCCTCCCGCTCGCGGTGCCTGTTTATGCGGACATAGGGGACGTGTGCGACGGTGAGGTTCTCGTCCGGCGAAGCCATGAAGGTCCTGAGAGTCGTGGAGACGACTTTGGCCCTGGCGAAGCCGCCGCGGTGCTCAGGCAGAACAGAGTTGATTGCGAACGGCTTCAGGTCAAAGGTGAGCTTCCGACAGGACTGGTATCTGCGGCGGGGGAGATAGCGGGAGCACAGCAGAGAGATGCCGACACACAGAGATAAAGTATAATGAAGTTTTTACGCTGTACATTGTCCATACATGTTTTTCTTGACACACTTAGTATGTGAAACTATTTATTTTTGTCAGTATTATGTTTAAAACATCTAGTTATAACTTAATGCTGAAAATAAATAATGACGTGACAAATGCTGAAAGGTAATTTCATAAAGAATTATGTCATTTAGAAATATTTTTAGATAATTGACATATAAAATACGTGCAGGGATAAATCGTGATAAATCAATTTATTTTTCTATAAGAAGGGGGGAAACTCCTCACCTCCTCCCAACGTCGGCAAAGGCCAACGAGTGGACGGTCTTGCAGGTCACATTTCTGGGGAAACGGCGCTGCGCCTCACTGGCCACCGACTTGTTGAAGGCCACATACAGGAAGCGGAGGTGCGGCCGCTGCTCAGCGTACTTCACCAATGTGGTGGTCTTCCCCGTACCTGCCGATGGACAACACGGACCTCTCAGCTACACACGGCACACCACACGCAGCAGCACCGACACAAAACTAATTTTCCTTCTCCAACGTTTAAACGGCTGCACGTCTCCAAATGCAGCGCTGACAACGTCAGAACCTGTAATGCTAAAACACCTTTTCCTTAACTTAAGCGCAGACATGCAACAAAAAGACCATAGCCAGTGCCTAATTAAGATGCGTAAAAAAGTGTTAAAACCCCAATGGTTTTTACATCCAGATGTAACTGCTGCGGGTCCAAGCAAAGGTACAGGATTCAAAATGAAACAGCAGATTTGTTGCGTGTGAAAATCTACTTGACAATAAAACTCATTGTTAATTACGCCACATTACTTATTCAATCATTATGTTTGTGTGTTGGTGCAATGTTTTCTTGAATGTTTGAATGTTGACGGTCATGGTGCTGCCATTCTACCTGCAAAGGCCACAATCTTGATCACGTGGTCCTTCTGGACGTCGTGGCTGAGGATCTGCTGCTGTTCACCTGTGAGCTGAACCTGAGGCCGCCTGGCAGCAACACACACACACACAACAGGGCACTGTTAAAAAGCTCCTCAGATTTTGGCACTCCACTGGTTGTTGGTTGTTGTTCTCATGCCACGTCAGTGACGCTTTCTGGTGCTCACCCGCTCGTCCCGGAGCCGACGGTAAAGGGGCCATTATCCATCAAGTGAAGTGTGTAGTAGATGTTGTAATGCAACCTGGAAAAGACGAGAAACAAAAAGAATCACGAGGAAGCAGGCGACAAACGCGAATGGAGCTGAAGGCACCGACTCTCGTAGCTCTTACCGACTACTAATCTTGATGTGGTTCCTCTTCACGGCGAGCAGCATCATGGCCATGTGACTGAAGTACTCTGTGATGGCGGTCTGCGACATGCAGCCGGTGAGCAGAGACACCAAGGCCTGTACGTCACCCACGCTCTCGCTCAGGATCAGAATGACCGCCATGGCTGCGTACGGGTTGGGACCCTGAAAGGTTGGAAATGATGTAAACATAATTTTCTCCATAAGATAAGAAGATGACGTTTTTTCCATATGTATGTTTTTGAATCATACATTTATGCTAAGGTTGAAGAACTTCTGAATATCAGGAATGCGTAATCTGATGGAGGCCTCGGCCTGAGGAAAAAGGCGGTGTTTCTTTACACAGTCCAGAACGTCCTGTGGCCTCACCCGCTCGCCGACTGCATGCTGCGCCATTAACCTGTCCAAAACACACAGTAACAATTACACACAGGCCGCATTCATTACATCATAATACAGAGCTCCATTTAGTATGAACAAGCTGAAAACAGTAATTGAATGGAAGGGACATGCATTGCATTTAGTTGAATTCCAGAATGTGTTATTCAATCTACACATTGAAATGTAATGTTTCATAAGCGGTCCCTTATTCATGACTTACACAACAAGGCTCCGTATGCTGTGCTGCGATGACGACGGATCTGTGATGCTGCTGTTCCTCAGCACGGAGCAGATCTCCTGCACGGTTTCCTTCTCCCTCATCATGTAGCGGAAGTATTGTTTCTTGAAAGGGACAAACTGCACAAGGGAACACAGACGCACAACATCCAAAACAAAGTTATTTTTTTAGTTTTAAATATGAGTACGGCAACGTCCAACCACAGGAGTCAAGCAAACTACTTTCTTAGAAAACTCAATAGTGTTCACAAAGTTTCACTATTTCTTTTTTGTTCTTCTTCTTTTTACTTGCTTAAACGCATTTCTCCAGCCACAGTACACGTACCCTGATTTTGTTTCTTAATTTCAACTACCCCCCTACACCTTTCTGCTAATATGGAATTTAATATAATTCTGTGACACGTTTGAACCTTGGTGTCTTGGACGATGTTCCTCCAATGATGGCAAACCAGGCTGACACAGCGGTAGAGCTCTTGGGCGGTGACGAGGCACAGTATTTGCCTCAGCACCTCCTCTGGAAGATCATCCATGCAACCCTCGGGTTTAAGCAAGACCTTCCTGCTACCCAGGAGCCCGTAGTGGGCGTCAGGCAGGGCCTCCACCTCCTCTTCCATGTCGTGACTTTCTCTGTCCCATTGGACAAACTCATCATCATCTCCAAAAATCTCTGCTGTCATTCCCTCCAGATGATCCACGCCATGCTCGTTCTTTGGCATTGACTCTGCAGCCAAAGGGCTTACGTTGTCAACCTCCTCCTCCCATTCTTCTTCAGGGTTTGGCGCCGACGGGGGAGCCAAGAAGCTCACATCGTCGTCGTCGTCGTCATCCTCCGTCATGACGCCCGTCTCTTTTTCAGGAAAGCGGTTTCCATTGAGTACATTTGTGCATGTGGACGAGCCGGGCTGAGGGAATTTGTGTGGACTTGAACGGATGACTCTTGTCACAGAGAAGAAGTTGTCAATGGCCTTCTGGTGCCCAGAGGGACTTCCTGAGGCAGATGCTGTGAGAGAAAAAAAAATATTTATGTGTTACAACTTTAGGACTACACAAACTAAAGAATGGACAAGTGCACATGTTGCAGAAGGAAAAGAGCAGATTACCACACTTCCGTCGCTTGGTGGGCGTCCTGGGGTAAAGCCCCCGGTTGGCGCTGCGAGTGCCTCGCCCGTTGACCGTGTGGGGTTGGGTGAGGGCATTGGTGCCCTCCGTCCTTCGGGCAAGTTCATCACATTCTCCGGCATTCAGGTGCCTCCTTTTGGCCTTTCCTAGAAAACGACGACAGCCAATAGCATGGAGTCATGACAACACAAACCACTGTATTGGAGATGCCCTTGTGCAATGTGAGCCATTCCTCAGTTTCCCTATCCAACAGCTTATTGCTAAATCTAAGGATAGCCAAACAGGCCAGTGTTGTACTGCACATCATCAGTGACCCCTGAAAAGTTAGAGGAAAGCACCGAATTTATCCGTTTCTGGCTATGAAAAAATGACAAAACGAACATGAGCGAGTCCACTTTTAGTGTTACTATCTATTGGCTGAATTCACTCCAAGGGCCTCACTAAATACCATCTGTGCGACACTAAGTTAATTGAAGGTGGTTGTTTTAACATTCTCCTCTTTTGGACTCTGTACTATGTTTAATAAGCTTCTAAATTAACGTAACGGAAGTAACGTTAAGTCACTCGCCTCCTCCTAGAAACTTACCCTTAACAGCCATCTCCATCGTCGTGTCCAGGGCATCCGTCTTTTACTCACAGAACTACGTGACTAGCGTTAATGATTCCCATTTGCTTTGCTTCTGGTCAAACGCAAACTTATTTGAGCAGAAACGTCGAAGCTTGCAGAAAAGCTGCTGAATGGGGGTGGGACAGCCGTGCATCCAATGCCTTGGTAAACAACGACTGTTGCGCTAGCATGCTAGGCTAACCCTACTTTTCAGCTTTGTCAACAGCAAAGTTGTTGAAATTATCTCGTGTAGATACTTTGAATTAATTCACGGGCTTACTGACGCTCATTTCGGAGCATTTGTGGATTGAGAAAATGTTTCTAAACAGTCAGGCAGCAATAATTAAGGCAGAAACGAACAACTCTTCGTGTTGTTCATGCGGAGTTGCGCACGCAGGCTGTAGGCTGCGTACACGTCGCGAGAGCGCGCACGCACAGCGTGATTCTCATGGGAAACTAAAAACTTTTTTAACCTCCCTTGGTTAAAAACTTACTCACGTGTGTGTAACATTTTTATTGACTGAAATATCTGACTGTTCCGAGTGAGGAGCTTGCAATGCACAAAATACAACATGAATACACTGTAAGTAAATATTGTATGATTAGTGAAATATTAATGAAATAGAAAGTATGTACAGTGGAGTAAAATAGGTATTCAATTAATTTAAAACAGCAGGTGCAATGGTTTTTGATAATGGTTAAATTAAACAATGATTTTTTCAGGGGTTTTGTTGTACAGTAGTATATTGCAGTAGGCAGGAATGATTTCCTGTAGGCCTATCTGTCCTTGTGACAGCAAAGCTGGATTATCCTGCTTTTCTTGCAGTAGATGGTGAAGAGGGTGGCCTGGTTTATCCTATATGGATACAGCGGTTTACCATCATGCACCAGGGTGAGTTATAACAATGACATACCCTGGTTTACAACAGAACTCAGAAAGCTATGGTGCAGAAGGTTCAGGCATTTAGGAGTGGGGACAAGGACAAGACAAAATACAGGTTTAGCAAGGCGATGCTAAAGAGATGCTAAACGAATGTACACTTAGAAACCGCAACACCAGCTTTCAGCAATTGGCTCGGCTTCTGTCTGGAGAGGTCTCACACAGACTACTAACTATAGGCCTAACCCCCCCCACTGCATCAATGTGACCTCTGCCTGCCAGACCAGCTGAATCAGTTCTACTGCAGATTTAAAAGACAATGTGACAGTCATTGACTCCATACCCCACCTCCTCCACCCTCCTTCTCAGTCCAGGGGTGTTAATCGGATCGTAGTCGGACCGCACATAGTCGGACAAAGGTGTTTACATGAAACGGATAATTCGATTTCAGTCCGACTAAGCCAGTTATTCGAATCCATGTAACCACGCTGAGTGACGACCCTTTCTATTCTAGAGAGAGAAGTCAACAGGCTTTTTAAAAAGCAGAACCCACGCAAAGACTGTGTTCCTCTCTACCCTGAAGCATTGTGCTGATCAGTTGTCTTAGGTGTTCACAGCAGTCTTTAACACCTTAGAGGAGACGTGCCACGTTCCAGCCTGTTTCAAGGCCTCCACCATCATCCCAGTCCACAAACAGCCTTGGATCACAGGATTTAATGACTAAAGGCCCGTCGCCCTGAACTCTGTAGTCATGACGTTCTTTGCCTTGTCCTATCCCACCTGAACTCCCTCACCGACCCCCTCCTAGATCCCACTGCAGTTTGCCTACAGAGCCAACAGGTCTGTATATGATGCGATCAACATGGCCCTCCTTTCATCCTTCAGCATGGACTTCCAAGGAACCTACGGCAGGATCCTGTTTGTGGACTTCTGCATCACGTCTCTGCTGCAGGACAAACTCGCCCAGCTGCACGTGCCCGACTCCACCTGCAAGTGGATCACAGACCCCCTGTCTGACAGGAAGCAGCACGTGAAGCTGGGGAAACATGTCTCAGCCTCTCGGACCATCAGCACCGGTTCCCCCAAGGCTGCGTTCTTTCTCCTCTGCTCTTCTCCCTGTACAGAAACAGCTTCACCTCCAGTCACCAGTCCGTCAAGCTCCTGAAATTTGCAGATGACACCATCCTCATTGGACTGATCACTGGTAGGGATGAGAGCGCCTACAGGTGGGGTGATGAAGATCTGCCGTGGTGCCCAACAGAGGTGCCAAAAGACGAGGATGGTGCATTTCTACACGGCCATCAGCGAGTCATCCTCTGCTCCTCCATCACCGTCTGCTACGCTGCAGCCACAGCCAAGGACAAGGGCAAGCTGAAGTGTCATCCGCTCTGCAGAGGGTGATCGGCTGCAATATGCCGTCCCTACAGGACTTGTTCGCTTCTAGGACCCTGAAGCGAGCTAAAAGGATCGTAGCCGACCCCTCTCACCCCGGACAAAAACTGTTTGTGCCCCTTCCATCTGACAGGAGGCTGAGGTCCATCAGGACTAAGACCTCCCATTAGACAATAGTCTATAGGATAATTCCACTAGTCAGGCACACAAACTAAGTATTTTCTCTTCTACCACTTTTGCTGTTTAAGTCAGTTTGAGATAGAAACACACAATTTAGGAAAGTAAAAGTAGTAGAACATTTATTAAATGGTCAGGCATTTCTAGAGTAAACCATCAGTATTGTTATTGGCACCATAATGTTGGGAGGCACAAAATGAATCATTTCCTATTAATCATTTGCTACCTTTATCACAACAGCATCTGTTGTACATTACAGTGGAGTTACACAAAAAGAAAGAAAATATGTTGTTAATACCTCAGACAAATGTACTATATGTTACTATCACAATACATGGGTTATTTATAACTCACTGGCTGTCTACTTCATCTAAAGGGACGTTTCTTCTGTTCTCAGGAGGCCTTTAGACAAATGTGCATGCTTAAAGTGTTCGGAGGTGAATTTGTTGCATCCATTAAAGTTGGCAAAATACTATGTTAGGAATGTTTTTTTGATCACTCAGTAAAAGCAGCGTCTCAAACTACACGTAATATCATAAAAATAAAACCGGTGACATTAGTCATTCTAGACTAAGGGCTGAAACATATTCTGTGTTGATGTGTGAATGATTAAACAGTCGACCAACCGGAGTATGAGTCAGTCCTCAAGGTAGTACTTCCATACTGACAACCACAAAGTGAGCAAGCAATTGTAAACAGAGCTCCTCCATACGCTCATTTCCGAAAACCAAGGCCATTTCCGGACTTCCATTTCATAATTAGACTTTTGCATTCAGTATGTTCAAAACACACAGTTGTTAATACGTCTTCTAGATTTCATTTTGCTCTATGGATGGGCATTATACATCGCAGAAACAAATTAAAATAGGAAGTTACTTGTGTCTGAAACCACATTTCAACAACTTTTCATATACAGTTTCTCATTACAAATTTGGAAGGCCTTTGTTCACAGTCCTGTGTTGTATGCCCTTTGTAAAAGAAAAGAACATTTATTTCTCTCTCATCCCGAATGTTTCCCTTCACTGCTTCAGGACGGGGAGTTCCCTCGGCTTAAAGAAGGCCTGAACCATCCCCATGGCGAAGATGTACACTTTGGCATCCACCACAATCTTTTCTTTCTTCATGAGATCTACCAGATAAAAGCATAAGTCAGTGTTACTCCTCGCTCTCAGAATGTTATCGTTACTCTTAAAAAAAAAAAAAATCCCAATGCCTCACCATCTATTTTCATCTGGAATTCATCGAGAGGTAAGAGAATGACTTCAACAAATTCTGCAAGGGGAGGATACGACCGTGGTTTGATCTGGGATACATTTTATTTATTATTTCTGATGTATTTTAAAAAGGAAAATAACTCACCTCCATCACCTGTAAGGAAGAATTAAGGAAGAATTTATTATTATTACAAAATTCAAAATAAAGTTATCTATTGAAAATGTTCCCTTGAATCACTCATGCGCCCTCACTTTAGTATTTTGCAAGAGGTCAAAGATTACATAAATATTTGATTAGACAAGAGAGTAGGAGATAAGTGAATGACTCTCACCGAGCTGCTGCTTTGGGTTGATATTCTCCCCCTCGTCTCCGTTGATATTGACCATGACCATCTGGGTGGTGCAGTTAGACAGGCCGGGGTCCAGACAGGTCACTGCGACCAAGACAATAACATAACTGCTCTACCATGTATTTTCAAAGGAATTAGAGCAAGATACGTATTTTCACCCTTGGCCCCTTAACCTCTCAGACACACAGAAGATAAGATAAATCCAAGAGAATGTGCTTATGCAATCACATGCACAGCAAATCTCAGCGTGACGGTACCTGGAGTGATTCCCACTACTTCCCCTTTGTAGCCGGTTTCTTCTTTTAGCTCCCTCAAAGCAGCCGCCTCTGCACTTTCCCCCTCGTCAATCAACCCTAAGCACAGCAGAGACATCAACATGAAAAATGGACACAAACTTTGTCACTCGACAAGAAAAACTCTACTTTCGACGCTTTTCAAATGGTTCCAATTTGGTGAAAGAAACCTTCCGACCTGCAGGAAACTCCAGAGTGTGGCAAGCCATGGGGGGACGGAACTGCTTCACCATCACCACGCAGTCTTTGTGCAGCGTCCGCTTCAGCAGGGCGATAATCCCAACACCTGGGGGAGAAGTGTGTTACAGCCAACAGCACCTTTACCAAGCAGTTAAAACATACACATATTTATATAACTGGATGTGCTCACCATCTGCTTCTGTGTTGGTTTGCCTTGTTGTCCTTTTCACGGTCTCCCAGGTTCTGGTGGATGAAAAAAAAGGAAAAAGGGGGGGGAGAGGGGGGGTCAAAACGACACGTGTGTGTGATTGCGAGGATTGTGGCAGTCCATACGCACAACAGTACCTGGTGCTTCCGGACCAGTCCACGTACGTGGTCTTCTCCAGCTTTACCCACTTGCCTGTCACCATGAGCTGCAAAACACACCGTTGCGTGATCACAATAGATTACAACTAAACAGCTTAGTCGAGAAGTTAGTTACTTAGTTTACAGTGTGAGCTACTCCAATTGCACACAACTCTTCTGTTATATAGACGCATGCATGCGGTATACAAAGGGTCGTTCCTGCAAAACTGAAAAGCAAATACATCAAATACATTCATTCGTGTGTTAATCGATTCATCTAAAAGAGCAATTGGTATTAATCAAAACATAAAAGTGGAAGTAACAACGGCAAATAATATGGAGTCTCGGATAAATAAATTGCCAGGAGTAAGGAACATAACGTGGCAGAAAAGGAACGTCCTGCGAGTGTAATTCACAGCTTCGCGTGGAGCATTCGAAGCTGCAGGCTTCACGTCAGTGGTCACTTGCCTCTTCGGCCACGACGTGCGGAGCAGCGGACACGTTGGCTTCCTCGGCGTGGTTCATTTTCCCAACTGTGAAGGGGAGGAAAGTAGAGTCGGAAAGCTTCAGTTGAAAATGTGATAAGGTCCGCTTCAAGCTAGACTGGAAACAAACAAACAGAGGTCCAACCAACATGTCCCAGCAGAAAAGAGAAGCCAATGTTACACGTTTCTGGTCACGAGTTTGTCAATTAACGTTAGCTGCTACAGCCACGACTCTTTGCCTCCCTTCGAGCATGTTTGTATTTCGTTTCTTTATCTGACGCTAGCGAGCAGCTTTGTGCTTTAAAGTGCTTCCGGCGATCGGAGAGTGCTCGATTTAAACTTTGGATGATCATTACAAATGTGCTCGATTTAAACTTTGGATGATTATTTCAAATGGACAAAGTAAACTAAACTCACGTGAGTCTCCAACACAGCCGAAGCAGCAGAGACCGGAACGGAGCAGTGACGAGTCGGTCACCACTTCCGGGTCCCGCGAATCAACCGCAGTCCAGTTTTATTCTTTATCGATGTGAAAGACTTTACTTAATGGTTCATGTTTTCATTGGATACCAACATTGTGTCATTTCCACATTTTATAAGGATAAGTGCAATTAGATACTAACACACGGATAGTGGATGATTCAGGCATGCTTTATAGATTACATTTTAATATGTTGTATTAGTTTGTAATAGTGAAATGTGAGGAAAGAATTGTCTTAAACTGTTAAATGTCATTAAATGAGAAGGCGGCTCCAACAGTTCCATTTAACATCCCGAGTGCGGAAGATATTTACCGATGGACTCTCTTCCGTTACGGGAAATCGCAGCATGAAGAAGGAGCAAGTTGTAAACTGTCAGTTTTCGGTTTGGTATCCGATATTCAAGCAACATACGATTAAAAGGTAGAAAGCTGACGTTTGTAAAGAAGTCCGATAAAAATGTTGTCCTCGTCGATGCTGTTTAGCGAAGTCCATCTTTAGCTGAAAGCTAATGTTAGCTTCCAAACAGGATATTAACGTTATATCTGTTATTATCTTCCAACTCTGCTCCTTACGTCGCTCCTCATTATCACGCGTATTCCTACAAAATGTTGTTTGAATCACTCGCATTCCTCCGTGTCCTCCTTCCTCTCACCTGTTCTTTGCCTGTTGTATATTTAATGTATAATTGCATGTATAAATCTGTGATGTCGTGTGTCTTCTTTTCCTCCAGTCTGATTCTTCCACTGCCTCAGAATGTAATAGACTATTTACTGGACGATGGCACACTGGTAGTCTCTGGGAGGTACGAGGCCACTGACACACGCAAGCACACACACACATTCTGTTTTCTTTAGTATTTGAATGGATTTAAGAAGCATCGAGAGATGCTTTTTGTGCTTATAGTGGACAAGTGCTGCTGCAGGTTGATCCTGTTCTCCGTTAAAACTTAAACTAGATCTGATTTGAAAAATCACTCCTATTGTTTCTCTTCAGTGACCACAACGCACAGCAGACATACACTAACAACAGCGACTCCGATGACGAGGAAGACATTCAGGTATGTATGCGGAGACTTTGTTGATGTTTGTCTACTTAGAGAAAGAGAAACTGTCACACATATCTGCACACTTGGATCATTTCAGTGTTACGCTTTGTTGTTTGTCGAAAAGCCTTAGACATCTGGTATAATATGAGACATAAAGCACTAAAACTGGTTAGCAGCTTTATGCTGATCGACTTCAGCTACTAACAAGTAGGTAGGGCACTTTATTCAATGCAAAGTAAATTTATACTGCAACGTTGGTGGATAAATGCATCCACACACAAATGTTGTGAGCTGTTCTAGTCTGTTTTCAGGCGTTTTTATCAGGGGTCTATCATATTATATTCCATAATTAAATGCCTTGTCACATTACCTCTGGCTTCAACGCAGGCTTGAAGAGAACTGTTGATAGCAATGTTTACAATGTTTACCCTGAAACCCCGTTTCTTTTTCTCTGTTTCCCTCTAGTGGTCAGATGACGAGACAACATCCACCGTCACCGTGAGTACAGCCGATATTTCCCACCAAAATGTCGGTATTCTGAACCCCCACCTGATGAAACATTTACACCAGCTTCAAGTGATCCGCATCCCTCTTATGGTGCATTCCTGACATAAAGCACTAAAACTGGTTAGCAGCGTTATGCTGATCGACTTCAGCTACTAACAAGTAGGTAGGGCACTTTATTCAATGCAAGCTGTTCAAGCTGTATTCAACAGAAATCTGCACCCCCCCTCCCTGTGCGTATCAATCTATAATGCAGTATTTATGACTACCATGTGAATATGTGGCTTTCTGTGTGTGTGTGTGTGTGTGTGTGTGTGTGTGTGTGTGTGTGTGTGTGTGTGTGTGTGTGTGTGTGTGTGTGAGATAGGCTCCTGAGTTCCCAGAATTCACTTCGAAGGTGCTGGAGGCCATAAACGCCCTGGGTGGGCGCGTCTTTCCCAAACTCAACTGGAGCGCTCCTCGGGTAAAACATCAGTGACCAGTATAACCTTGAGAGGTTGATGAACAGGCAATGGAACTATATCAAAACATCTGCTTACATTTATATCCATTGTTCAGGAGTTTGACCCATGTAATATCAGCAAAGCTCAGTGTGCTACCTCATGTCCTTTGACTCATCAACGCCGCCTTTTGGAGGCCTGGGAGAAAAACCATGTCCTCCTCAAGAATTCAAGCTTGAGTAATTGAAATACAAATGATTTGTTTTGTAGAATTTGTTTGTATTTATTGAAGAATGAGGGCTGCTTCTTGTACCACACACCAGCTTTAAGCGTGTGTGCTTGTGTGTGTGTGTCCCTCCCTTTCAGGACGCTAACTGGATCGCTCTCAACAGCTCCTTGCAGTGTGACAGCCTCACCGACATATTTCTGCTCTTCAAAAGTTCTGACTTCATCACTCACGACCTCACCAAGCCGTAAGCCTCGCCATCTAGCAACGGCATAATCACGCAGCGTACTTTACATTTAGATGAGAAATGATACAGCTCACTCCTAAAAAAAACAAAAAAAACACGACAACTGGGGTTTTGTTTATATGTGGCAGCAAAGCACAAGTGGCAGCTGAAGATTTATACCTCTCAGCTCTGCGTGATAAACATTTACTGCAGCAAGTGATTTAGTGCGGCACACAGCCGCCGGCGGAAGCTCTGTGCGTGTGTGTGTGTGTGTGTGTGTGTGTGTGTGTGTGAGACTTAGAGTGAGAGATTACAGAATGCAATCTTGAGAGCAACACAGCAGCCGAGCTGTAAATATAAAGCCCGAACCCGTGTGATGCTTCAGAACATATATTATAGTTGTATCTATTTAACAGGTGTAACCTTCATTCATGTCCATGTGCAGATTCCTCCTATGTAGTGACCAGGACTCCCCAGATCCACTCGTAAACTATGAGGTATTCAAAACTCAAGATGACTTTCATTAGCCGGTGTAATGAAACTAATATGAAGTTTTATTGTAGAAAATTCTGTTTTTTCTTTCTCTGCTGTTTTATTTGTGAAATGTTGTGGTCTCGTCCCCCCCACTTCCCCCGTGTGGCCGCTTGTCTAATGTTCCTGTTACCGTCTGCGTTGTCCTCTGTCCCCAGCTGGTCCTGAGGAAGTGGAGCGAATTGATTCCTGGCGGAGAGTTTCGGTGCTTCGTCAAAGAAAACAAACTGATCGGTAATAATCCTCCGATAATAATCACCCTCCATTTGGGCTTTGTGCCAAAACATTTGGAAAAATAACTGCTTATAAGAAGGTATTAGCCAATGAGTTTACGTCCAATGTTTCCTTAACTTTACTTGATTGTTTATTCTACATTTTACCTTCACTCTACTGTAGATGACACTACACCGAGTAATCAATTAAAACCAGCCGCTACTTCATAGAGAAGCTGCCGCATTAAAGTACAGTTTGATTCTACTATGTTTATACTTTTGAGTAACATTTTAAAAGCAGTGCGTTTACTGTTTAACATGTTTCATTTTTTCTTCCACCGCCGTTCTTAACTCAAAAGACTCAACTGAGCTTCCCCTCCATCGTAGCACTGATGAAATGCTGTTTGAGGTGATTCAGAGAGGATTAACGGTGCGTCCGTCTCTTCCCAGCCATCTCCCAGAGAGACTACACTCAGCACTACCAGCACGTCTTGAAGCAGGAGGAGCAGATCCTTCACGCCATACAGGCCTTTTTCAGCCAGCACATCCAGTACAACTTCCTGGACGAAGACTGTGAGGATCGCTGTCTTTTTATTATTTTCCTTTTATATTTCATTACTTCTTCCATTGAAAGCTAATTATCCAAATATGTTATTTTTCAAGCAAATAAATGTTCTTTGTGAAACTAGCAGATAGATTTATATAGTGTATACTATATTTCAAATGTGGGCGAAATGCTGTCATTTCACTCAAACATACTAATAAATAATACAACCAGGGAAACTGATCATTTTGAAGTGGTCTCAAGCTGTATCTGCGCATGTTAAATCACTATATATATGTGTGTGTGTGTGTGTGTGTAGTTGTTTACGCTGTTGTCTTCTTTCCCGTTTTACAGTTGTGTTGGATGTCTACAGAGACAGTCAGGTGAGCCCCGAAATGACTTTGGATGTGGGCTTTGTTTTTGCTTTCGAAAGAGTGACACTCATGCGTTTTATGCGTCTGTTTGCAGGGGAGGGTGTGGCTGATCGACGTGAACCCGTTCGGCGAGGTGACTGACTCGCTGCTCTTCAGCTGGGAGGAGCTGGCGACCGGGGGGGAGCTCGCCCAGCAGCAGGTCTGCCATCATGACACACAGACACACATGCATTCTAAAAAGGGAGAAAAGTTGCCAATCCATACTGAAAATTCTTTTGTGGTTTCCCCGCGTGCAGGAAGGCCCGGCGTTTCGCTGCACCACCAGCGAGGTGACGGTGCAGCCCAGTCCCTGTCTGAGCTACAGAATCCCACGGGACTTCGTCGACCTCTCCACTGGAGAAGACGCTTACAAACTCATCGACTTCCTAAAACTGGTAAGAAGCAGCCGGCCTCCTTCGGTTCCTACGAGTGATTAAGAGCATTGAACAGCGTACTAGTGGGCGGGCTTAGAATGTGCTGTTACACACACACACAATTCCCCCTGCTACAGAATGATGTATGTCATGAAATTGGTTGGTTAGTTTCTGTAGGCTCACTTGTTTCATAAAGATGATTGACATTTGAAGAAGTGTGTGTGTGTGTGTGTGTGTGTGTGTGTGTGTATGTATATATACATATCTATATATTTCATTTTTCATTTTGCATCTTTTGTTGAATAGAACAACATGATCAGGGACATGAGCAGGGTTGACACCCTGAGTGGGTTTTTCATCTCCACTTTAAGCCAGTGGAGTACTAGTACCTTGAGAGATTATTTTACTGCAGGGCAAAGAGAAAACTGTCTGTCATACACATACATTATTCCATTGTTCAAATTCAAAGACAATCACGTTCATGATGACGTTTCTTCATTAAAGGCCGCGTGGATATTTGACTGAAAAATGAATTCTAAGGGGTTACTTTTATTTATTTTTTGTTTGAGTTACTCTGACTTAAACTACACGGTTGCCATGGTGATATATTGTAGAGGGTAAGATGACTAGCAATGAGTCTCTTCTGGTGGTTACAATCAAGAGTTTGAACTCTGCTGTTCTGTCTCCTCTCCTAACAGAAGAAAAGCCAACAGGAGGAGGAGGAGGAGAACCCTCCACAGTGACTCACAAGGAAGACGCAGATGCCAGCATCCTCAGCCCGTCCCCGACCCAGCGACTCGTTACCCTATGTCCCGATTTATTTCCCTGTTGAGGGGGGGAGGCAATGATTAGTTGTTGTTTTTTTCCAATGGAGAGGGAACAAATGAAAGCAAATATATTCATGAACACTGTAGACCCTGCCCTTCTACTACTAATATATGCGTGTGTATTAGTTTATCAATCTTTATTTCAGCCCAAATAGCTGGAAATTAAAAATTGAATGCTATTCGGCGCACACATCTCACCGTACGCGAGCGCTGGTGCGTAAAGGACAGACTTTTTTTATATAACCCTGAAGCCGTGAATCACAGTCACCGTTCATTATTCTCCGCAGCCCCCCCTGCTCCTCCATCCACACCACCCTACCCTTTGCTCCTAGTCGCTTATTTCCAGCCTTTTTGTTACCCATAATGCATCACTGTAGACGGTAAAAAAAAACACCATTAAACTTCTTGTTGTGTATTTGCTCGGCTGTCAAGTCTGCTGGGTGCTGTAAACTAACACATCGAATTTTTTTTTTTTTACAACATTTCTCTCATTAGGGAGCCAAACGAGCGCCGCGTGCACAGCGCAGGACACGGCAATTTCTTTTATCTTCGTTGGATTGATTGAGCAATTACAGGGAGATGGAAAGAGCTGGTGTGATGAGAGTTATGGCTCCCCAGGTTAAAAAGCTGTCGATGGGGAGCGGCGTACTGGGCACATATTGTGGGGGTTGTTGCAAGGTAGTAATTGTTTTTCTCCTTCTAAATGAAATTGGACCATAAACAAACCAGGAGGCGGTGTCTCGGTGTGACCCGCGGTGCTGGAGGAGCAGATTCACTATTTACCAGGAAATACAGAACGTAATCAACGACAGAGTCTCACGGCTCTCATCAGCGTCATTTTCGGGAATAAAAAAGAAGCGATCATTAATCCCTGTGCTCCACTTGGTTCCAAAGAACAGACAGAAAACAATCTGGTGAACTCTGCAGTTGGATTAATAGTCGCCTGGACACAAAATGCTACTGTTGCTCTTTAGCTGTTGGATATGTATATAGTGTATGTGTATTGCTAATTGTTATAATGCTGTTATGACAACACTATAATATGAATCAGGAATCAGGAACATTTATTACCAAAATATGAATATTCAGACATACAAGGAAGTTGACTTGGTGGTTGGTGCATAACATCAGACAAGACAATGGACAACAAGACAGATAAGACAACATAGTGCAAGAACAACAATAGGTGCAATAGGAATTTAAATTAAAAATAAAAGTTAAAAATAAAGTGCACCAGCGAACAGAAAGTGACAAGTGTGTGTACGTGCACGTGGAGTGCGAAGGGAGTGACCGGTGGAGAGGGATGTCAGAGTCAGTCAGTGGGGGACCAAGCTTGACTGCCGATTGGAAGAAACTGTTAGTGTGGCGGGAGGTCTTAGTCCTGATGGACCTCAGCCTCCTGCCAGATGGAAGGGGCACAAACAGGTGGGACTGTGTTCTTCCTGAAATCTACAACCATCTCCACTGTCTTTAGAGCGTTGAGCTCCAGGTTGTTCTGGCTGCACCACGACAACAGATGGTCAGACTCCCACCTGTAGGCGGACTCATCACCACCAGAGATCAGTCCAATGAGGGTGGTGTCATCCGCAAACTTCAGGAGCTTGACAGACTGGTGGCTGGAGGTGCAGCTGTTGGTGTACAGGGAGAAGAGCAGAGGGGAAAGAACGCAGCCTTGGGGGGAACCGGTGCTGATGGTCCGAGAGGCTGAGACATGTTTCCCCAGCTTCACGTGCTGCTTCCGAGAGCAAAATGTGTTTGCCACCTGCTTAAGAAAATTAAAACATTGTGAAAATGGAGTACACTGTTAAAGAAATATCTTATTGAGCAGTCCTTTAACAGCCTCTTCTGCTAATTCAAGCAAATATAGTCCTGAGGGGTAATATCAGCCCCCCTTCCCTTTTGACATGGCAGACGATGACTTTGAATTTCTAATCCTAGTTTGTGGTTTTAACGATGATACACTTCTCTTTTGTGGATGCATACATGCACAAAGATAATCATTTCCAACAAAATTAACAAATTAGAAAGTGACTCGAATGCCGACGGGAAGAAACCGTTTGTGTAGCGTGAGGTTTTGGTCCTGATGGAACTCAGCCTCCAGCCAGATGGAAGGGGCTCCAAAAGTCTGTGTCTGGGGGGAGAGAGGTCGCTGACAATCTTTCTTACTCGCTGTAGGGTCCTTCTAGTGTTGAGGGAAAATATTTCTTTTTGTCCAACATATACTCCTGTAATAACCACTTCTAGGGAATTGTGCAAGTAGGGATATAGCTGTATTTATATATCCAGGTAGATGAGTTACAATTTAACGGAGGGAAAGGCGACGCTAGGAGACCCGTAGATCGTTATAGTAGGTACAGAACGGGAGGGCCAGCGAGATGGGGTCAACCGTCCAGATTGAGCCTGTTATCATCAACGTACCAGATAAAGGGAGAATAGTGGGAGAACATCGGGACAATAAGGTGCGTAGTCAGAATGAGGGATAGTTAAAACCATGAATAAATGAATCCTCAACAGAAGAGAAGTCGGTTGACAGCAGATTGCTGCCAATCACCCCTCTCTGCAGAGCCAATGAACGATGTTCACGGCGGTGAGCTGAGTGACATCTAGATGAGTTAATGTGATCACATTCTTCTGGACCCATCCAGTGAGATTCCTGCATGGTGCACCATCACGATGTATGGTCGAGCACCGCGCCTTCATCTTCCTCGACCTTCATCCTCACTCTGCAATCACCCCCGCTCCTTCCTTTGCAGCCGGCTCATCATCTTTCCATCAGGGGGAGGTCACGCTAGCTGGAGTAAATGGTGAGGGGGAGGAAGGGTGAAGGGGATTGGGGATTGGGGAGGGGAGGAGAGGAGAGGGGGTTCCTCGGTTGCTGCTGAAGAAGAGCTGCAGTAGTTTGCAGACAGAATACTCATGAGCAGCTGAGGCTGCAACATATTGTCCTATCCCTCCCTCCTTCCCTCGGTGTGTGCGCGTGTGTGCGTGTGCATGTGCGTGCGTGTTGTGAGCCGTAACGCCGTCAACAACCTCCCGCGCCACAATAAATTCCATTAATGAATTATACGGTGAAAGAGTTTTCAGCTCGGAATTACACAAGGGAAGAAGAACATTTTCAATACACACAAATGATAATGGAAGGGTAGAAAAAGTGACCGTTCAACAATTAACGACGTTTAGAGAATTGTAGCAGCAAGGTTCACAGTCAAAGTGGGAATTCTTGACAGCTTAATACAGGAAGTGTTCATTTAAAAATAAAAGCCCGGTAGAAATGGAAAAAAGTCCGGCGTTGAATTGTTGTAATAAATGATCAAAGCATCAAAGTAAAACCGATATAGGCTATATATGCCATATGATTCGTTTTTTTTTACAGATGCTTTAATATTCTCTGTATTTTACCTATTAGTTTGATCGCATATCTGATTTTACTAATCATTGTCTGTTTTTATTAAGTTAGAAAATAGAATATTAAGTATATAAATCTCATGTATATATAATCATAATGATGATGATGATACTGATTTTATTAGTTCTCGTACTATAACATTAAGAATGATAAGTATTATAAACACAGAACAACCCCCTCATGCGCGTGCACCTACGTCATACTAATCAACCGTAAATTATTTTGAAAGCCACCACGAGAAGCGTTGTTATCTCCTCTTCAACTTGACAGCCGCTGTCCAGGCGGCCAGAGATGGGGAAGGGGAGGAGGGAGAGCGAGAGGAGGAGGGGGGGAGGGGGAGGCAGCAGGGACACAGTAACCTGCAGGAGGACTCACATGGTCCTGCTGCAGTGGAGGAGCACAGACCTGCGGGACTCTACAAACCTCCCTCGTTTAGTTCCACTTCATTCTTCTTCATTTTCATATACACCCCCCTCCCCCCCGGGGCCATTGTTATTTTCTTTCTTTCTCTTTGCTTGTTGCTCGCATCCCTCCGTCACCGCAGCCCCGCCGCGTCGCGCCGGTAAGCAGCCCCATGGTTGGGGAGAAGGGAGACCCCGGGGGGGGAGAAACGGGGAAAAACCAAGTGGACAACATCAAGAAAATATTCGTTTTAAAAAAAGTCCTCGCCACGGGAGTTGATTTAACCTGGGGTTTTTCTTTCCGGGACAAGAAACCCCCCCCCCCCCCCCCCCACAACCCCCCCTGACCTCTCCATACCGGCGTACATGCGCGGCTCCTCAATGGAAGTTTAGGAACTAATTTACTGGTTTTAAGCATCAGAATTTGCCAATTTAGCATGTAACAGTTTACCTTTAACTTTAGGCTAACCATTTCATTTTATTCTGCTATTCTAACATGTTCTCACTGACTCGATTTGTATTCTCAGATAAATATATAATGATAATACTAATAGTAATAATACATATTGATCCATATTTACATACGTGTGTAGTAGCTACGTAGCAACGTATTAGCAGGTTCATATAGCGTTTTGTTCCCTAATAAAGAGACTAATGTTCCCCTAGTGGTCCCGTCATGTTTATATGGTCCCGTGTGGTGTTTAATCATGTAGGGACTTTGTAAAATGACCTTGGATGACTTTGGTGCTTAAAAGTAACTTCAGAGTGGATAATCTTTTCTTTCCAGTGGATTATCTTTCTGGCACATTCTGTAACATTCCTGGACGGCTTTGACAGACAGTCGTTCAGACCGTCTGTCAAAGTCTGTCTCCCCATTCCACTCACAACCTTTGTTTTTCAATCACCTGAGACACACACGCTCCAGCTCCATGTTAGGATCCATGCTTCTCCCTCCCTGTTGCATCTTCTCTGTCCTCTTCCCTCTCGTTCTCATTGAAAAGGCAACGGGATAAAGGTGCACCCTCAAAGTCTCTCATCTCTGTGTGCCCGCTCGGTTTTTCCTGTTGGGTGGAATTAGCCGCATCTGTATTGGACGGCAGCCTGGAGGGGGGACACGCAGGACGGATGCAGATTGGGATTAACTGCACAGGGATTAGGAAAAACTTCCCCCTAAATGCTACGAAGTGCTATCATGTTGTATAATTGCTGGATGACGGTGGGTGGCTGGCTGGCCAGAGTTTGTTTCTCTAGATCACCTAAAATTAGGACTGGATGTGGGGAAAACACACACACACTTACTGCAGGCCGGTAGTGGACTCAATGATCCAAATCAGCCATGTTGCAGCCACATATTAACCAGAGCTGCTGACGGGCCTTAGAAATGGATGCATCAGCAAAAAAGGTGTAGGGGGGAGTCTGTGTGTGTGTGTGTGTGTGTGTGTGTGTGTGTGTGTGAGATGGAGTGGTTTGTGATTAGCATGGCAAAGCAGAATGAAGGAGAGGAAGAAGAGGAGACAGGGTGACTCGGTTGGAAACAGATGGGATTTTTAATCTGCGTGACGGAGCAGACAAAATAGGGATGAAAGTAGCAGCTTGGAGCCAATCAAAACTGA